ATGCTGCAGTGGTGGCCACCAGGAATGCCAGAGCAGTGGCCACCAAGAATGCTGCAGTGGTGGCCACCACCAAGAATGCCTCAGAGGTGGCCACCAAGAATGCCTCAGTGGTGACCACAGCTGTCAAGAACACCACCAAGGATGCCGCAGCCGTGGCCACCACTAAGGATGCTGTACCGGTGGCCACCAAGAATGCCAGAGCAGTGGCCACCAAGAATGCCTCAGAGGTGGCCACTGCCAGCAACACCTCGGTTTCCACTGGCAATGCCTCAGTGGCCACCAACACCTCTGTGAATGGTGCACAAGAGACAATGGTAAGGAAAGTAATGGAAAGAGGGGCATTTCTGGGCCATTGCAGCCCTACAGACAGTGTCTCAGCTGGTCTATCGTGAGAGCCAGAGTGCCACAGGAGCATCTCCTGGGGAGGAAGGGGAGCACTGTGGGCAGATGGGGGTGGCCCCTCGGGACAGTGAGGCTGTGGCTGGGGACAGCCCCGTGGTGCTGTGCAGGGAGACTTTGCTACATGGTGACACCCTGGTGTGTTCTCCCTCCAGCTCACCTGCCAGAGCTTTCAGTGCTCCGGGGAGAGGTGTTACCAGGATGAAGCCCATTCCAACAGAACAGTCACCTGCCATAATGAGACTTACTGTGAGGTATGGTGATGCAGGGGGGCTGCAACAGGGAAACCTCTCCCTTTCTTTGTCTCAGCAATCCACAGTGCTCTATTAAGTCTGTGTCCATCTCCTGTTTCCCTTCTTTCTCTGGCAATCTGTCAGTTATTTCTGCTCCTTTGTAATGGCACCTCTTCACCCTCATTTTACCCTTTGACTCTGCTGTTGCAGCTCTATCGTTTCTCCAGCACAAACTACACAGCCGGGTGCAGCAGCAGGTGTGGTGTGGGGCTGTGCAGGACCAACGGCAGCGAGAGCAGGCAGCTCTGTGCCCTGGAGTGCTGTGCCAGTCCCCTGTGCCTGCAGCTCAACCCCAGCGCCTACGGTAACAGGAGGGGCAGGGGTGGGCAGAGCCCAGTGCAGAGGGGCTGTGGCTACATCGGTGTCTCTTCTGCCCTGGGGTTGCTCTGTCCTTGGAGCTGGGTGAGGGACAGGGTGATCCCACCAGCTCTGGCCGCAGCATGAGCTGCACTGGGGAATCTGTCCCTGTGTTGCTGTGGAGGGCCCTGTGTGGGCTGTGTGCTGGGTGCAGCCTCACAGGGCTCCTTGTGTGTCTGCAGGTGACCTGCCACCCACCACTGCTCCACCCAGGACCACCAACACCACCCACCGACCTCCCCCCCCAGAACGTAGGTACCACCTGGGCAGAGGCTGCTGCAGCTCCTGGGGCTCTCTGGGGGCTGCGGCTGCTGGGAGAGCTGAGCTCCCACCTGAGCAGGAAACAGGGAAAGGTCCCTCCTGCATCTGCTTTATGAGGTCAAAATCTGCCTCTGGAAGGGGAACAAATCCTAAATGGGCATTGGAAGTAAAGAGTCAGTAAGGAGCCCTGTCCATCAGGCCTTATCCCCAGCCCAACACTTGCATCAGCTCAGGCAGTTTGACTTGATTGCATGGCTGAGCCTTCCTGCAGCTGCAGGGAGGGCGCAGGACCCACCGAACTCTGCAGCCCTTTCCTGAGTCTAGGGGAGGGGAAGGTGCTTATCTTTGCAGAGCCCTGTTAAGAGGAAGGAAAAGGAGGCTTGAAACGTTTGCTCCGCTAGTGTTTCAGTAGTTTCCTTTGGTTTCAGATGGGCCACTGATAGCCTTTTTTCTCTGGATCTAAAATGCCTGATACAGCACAAATAATGAAGAACAGAGGGGGGTGGGAGAGGAACCCGCAGGAGTGAAGGGCTGACTGAAATGCAGTGAGAGTCTGATGGATATATGGTGTCTCCCCTGGTCCTCTGTCGTAGGGAAAAGTGTGCACAGCATTCTCCTGTCACGGGGATGGGTGTTTCAAAGGCAGGAAGACCATTGCTAGATGCGTCTTGGGGCAGGACTTCTGTGAGGTAAGGCCTGGGGCTGCAGAGCAGGACAGCCCCAGATGTGCCGTTGTGTTCCTGTAATGCGCGTCCCAAAGGCTTGACATGACCCCGAGGCTAATGTGTCTCTCTTCCTTCCAGATGAGGAGGACAGGCTTGAATTACATGGCAGGATGTAGCAAAGCCTGCAAGGCTGCCAAACCAGTCTGTGCCAGTGGGATGAAGGCTGCCTGTTACCAGGAATGCTGCCCAGCCACCCCGAAAGCCAGCTGTCTGAAACTGGATGGCAAAATTCACGTCAATAGCGCTGGGCAGGTGACACTGGCCCCACTCTTGAAGGTCATGGCATGTGGTGTGGTTCTTCTCCTGAATTACAGGGCCTTCACTTCCCTCCAGGGGTAGGCAGCAGCCGGGATGCTCCACAGCCTGCCCTCCTGCAACAGAGCTCCACAGCGCTCGGTAGGATCCTGGTGCTCTCTGACTTCAGCCAAGGCCATTATCAAACACTCTCTGTCACATCCCTGTTGTACTCAGAAAGCTACCAAAATCCTGTAGGCCTGAGAGACCCACAAACTAATTGTGGATCCTGAGAGCCGTGCAGTGTGTGCCTCCCTGCTGCTGGAATGAGGGACCAGGAACGAGGTGTTAGGCCTCCTTAAACATCAGAATATTCTGCCTTGACTGAAGGCACAGGGGCTCCTCTAGTCATTGACCTGCTTGTGCTGCAGCCTCCCTGGACCCCCTGTGACCTGTTTAGTTCTGAGCAGTTTAGTTCCGAACTGCTCTGGCAATGAAATGCCTCTTGCCTGGGTGGGTAAAATGGTAACTCCATGTTTTGTCTCCAAGTCCTAGGCAGGAAAATGGGATTACTCTAAAAGTGTCTCATGTTTTAGATGATCCTGTTTCACATCTGTGGTTCTCTGTTGCTAAAGGCAGAGCCCAGATGTGAGCCTGTGACGTGAACCCAGTGCAACAGCACTCAGTGCTGGTGCAGAGCTGGTTGGGCAGAATTCCCTGGAGTCAAGGTGCTGCCAGTTGTGCACACGTGCACGGCGCTGTCCCCTGCAACCGCTCTCCTCTGCTGCTGCTGGCTCCTTAGAGAAAAGATTGCAAAATATTAAAGTCTGTGTATCAGCCCTCTGGTCTGTGCTGGTGTTTTGAGTGTGGCTGAGAACGGTGTGAGGGCAGGAGGGCTGGGCTGGGCAGTTTGGGCCCTCGGGAGCCTTGTGTGCTCTCCCAGCAGGAAGGCTCTGCACTCCCAGCCCTGACAGTCACTCCCAGCCCCGACGGTGGCACTGCCAGCCCTGACGTTGCTGCCGCCCGAGCAGCGGCGGAAGCGGATGTGGGGCTGGATGGAAAATGCCTCCCTGTACCACAGCTGGCCCTGCCTCACTGTACCACAGCTGGCCCTTCCTACATTACAGTCCCCGTTCTGGTGTGGCAAAACCACAGGGTGTGTTTTTAGTTCGTTTCAGGCCACAGTGTCAGTGTATCCATGGCAAGTGAAAACAGTCTGAAAACTAGGGTTCTTCTATCTCAAAAACATCCCCTAGCACTCTGTTTCTTGGAAGGTTTGGTGTTTACAGCAGCTATTTCAGACTGTTCTCTTGTCCATTATGGACAGCTGCAGAGCTGTCACTGATAAAGACCATTCGGATTTTCTGTCTCTGGACCTACATCCCCCATGTCTGTGCAAGGAGCTGATTTAGGCCAGTACAAAAGACTGGTAGCATTTTACAGCATCCGCTCCCACACTCTGTATTAATTTATTTGCATAATAACCCGGCAGCTTAGAAGTTGGCTCCTGTGCTGGGTTGTCTTGAAATTCAACAAAAAATAATTCAAGCTGCTACTTAAAAAAGGGCATCTCGGGATTTTCCTTGGAAATGAACTTTTTCCGCGTCTGCCAATCCCAGAGCCTCCTCCTCTCGCTCTCCCCTTCCTGCCGGGAGGGGCCGGCCGCAGGCCGTGCCTGTCCCGCCGTTCGCATCCCGCCGGCAGCATCCGCTCGGCCGCCGTCGGGCCCGGCCGCGACCCCTCCCGCCCCGTTATTTCCGGCGGCTCCGAGCCCCGCCCGCCGCCGGTCCCAGCGCGGAGCGATAACGGAGCGGGCCGGCCCCGGCTGGGGGGGAGTCCGGGGACGCCGTGTCGTATCGTGTCGTATCGTGTCGCGACAGCTGCACTGAGCGCGCAGCCGCCGCCGCGGGAGCCGCCGGGTCCCGGCCCCGGGGAGCGCTGCCGGGACGGAGATGGACCAGTCGGTGGCCATCCAGGAGAGCCTGGCGGGGGGCGAGACCTGCCGGATCGTATCCTTTGATGGGTGCCGGAGCCGTGCGGGGCGGGGGGCCCCTCTCCCCGCTCCCTGCCGCTGTCCTGCCGTTCCTTGACCCGCGGCCGCAGGCGGTGCAGGGGCTCCTGTCTGCGGGGGACAGCGCGGAGAGCCGGCTGCTGGGCCTGGTGGAGCACCGCGGGCAGCACGCGTGGGTACCGGAGCGGGGCGGGCGGGGGAACATCCGAGAGACGCGGGAGCTCTGCGGGTCCCTCACGAGCCTCGGGAGCCACCTGAGAACCCCCTCCCGTCCCGAGGGCTTTCTGCCCGGGGGCAGTCCCGTGGGGCAGCGGTTTGAAGGCACGATGCCTTGATGTTACGGGTGGTCAGTAAGAAACCCCAGGCCCACGAGCTGCTCTGCTCTGCTCTGCCAGTGATGTGAACACGTTATTTTAGTGATGGGGTGAGCAGGAGGATGGTACGTGGTTGAGAAGTTACTCTGGGGTTTGCATGAGGCTGCACTAGCAGGTGCTGCTGGTGGGATGGGGTCTGTGAGTGCCTGCAGACGTGCCAGAACTGAGGAGTCTTTGCCTCCATGTCGGCTCCGTGCTTGCAGGATCTACGTGTACACTCACCGTCGGATGGCCATCACAGCTGAGGATGTCTGGCTGGAGAGAGTAATCCCCATCACAGATGGGTTTGCAGTGGAAGAAGGTACTGACACACTGTGGTGGCTCAGTGGCTGCCTCCAAAGAAGGGGATGGAGGGGTTTGGAGTCCATACTTTGTTGTTCTGCTTCCTTAAGTTTGGAATCTATTCTGCCTTCACATTTTTTCTTTAGTTTGTAATCCCTGGTGTCACTTGTGTTGCATGGCACTGCTGGCAGGGCTGTTCAAGGTTCGGAGCACCCGTGTCCCACCAGGCCCCAGCCACAGCCCCTGCCTGGCAGGTTCACTCTGCTGGCTCTGTTCCTGCCAGGAGCGTTTGGGGCTGGAGGAACTTGCTGAGCTCACTGACCTCAAAGTCACAGTCTGCAAATCTGTTGCTTAACTTTCAACTGTTTTACTTTTGCAGTTGTACTTGACAGTGACCGTCACATCATTGGTGAGTTCTGTGTTTGTTTTTAGTGCCTGTGTTACAGGCACTCTGGGCCCTGTGCCAGCTGCAAACAGTGAGGCAGGACTGGGGGCTCTTGTCCTGGGGGGGGCTTGCCAGGGTGGAGATTCATCTTCTGCTGCTCTTGGGGCATAGTTACTTAGTGCTAACAAGCATTGTCAGCCCCATTCAACCAAGGGAATGATTTTTCCAAACGCTTTTAAACTGCTGCTGGAAGATTAATTATTGTCACTGAATGAGCAGAATAATAATTATTATAAATGGTCGTCTTTATATTTTTAAATGGCATTCTCATGTAAAATGTTGGAAAGGAACATGATAAGGTGTCATGGGGAGATGCTGCTGAAGGCTGCACGCATGTGTGCATCCACCACTGGAGAGTGGAGACACGCTCGGTTTCTGAAGGCTTGGCAGCACGACCCACAGGAGCTCTTTCTCCTCATGTCCTCAGGCTCTGACGTGACTGTCCAGATGAGCTCAGCAGACGAGCGGCTGACCGTGCGGCTGCCCTTCGGCTCCCAGACGCGCACGTTCCTGCAGGAGCTCAGCAGGTGCAGCCCAGGTACGAGCTCTGCGGGTGCGGCTGGGACGGGGGAGGCTCCGGCGGGGCAGGAATGTTGCGAGAGCAGCGTTGGCCTCTCTGTGCTGAACCTCGCTCGGCACTCACCCCTTGGTCGGGGGAAATTCCCCCCGTCGGAGGCTCGGCAGCGGCGGTCGGTGTTTTTTGCGGGCAGAGGCGGGTGCTCCGTGCCGGGCCGGACGGGCTCCCGGGGGCGGGCCGGGGCGGGCCGGGGCGGGCGCTGGGGCCGGGCCGGGGCCGAGCTAAGGGCCGGCGGTGCCGAGCTGCGGCGATGTCCGCGGGCGGGCGGCCCCGCCG